TTTCATCTAGAGCGAAGGGAGATCCCAAAAGCTGCCAAACTACAATACTTTGAGGGTCAGTTGTTTTGTGTCCTAATTTTCATTGAATGAATCAAAAGCATTTTAGAAGATGCAGCAGAAGGAGCTGGTGAGGATCTCAGTGTTCATCACCCCATTGTCCCCTCAGGCCTGAGTTGTCCCCCTGTCTAATCACCTTGTCACTTATCCCAGCCTGAGTAAAAGAGCGAGTGCAAAGAGCACAGTGCAGACAGCAGGGTCTTCTCTCAGGACCACTCAGTGTGATTCTTCAGGTTGGTCAGGCCCAGATCCTGAGGTTCTCTGCACAGCACAGGCATCTGTTAAGGTTCGAACATGTAATGCTTGCTCTTCTCTTTATGGTGCTTGACTTTGTTCTTAGCTGAGAGTGATCCCAAATATTTTCAAAACATATGTCAATGTGCACCAGATATCTAGTGTTTCAGGAAATGGTTATAAAATATGCAATATATACAAAATATCCAGCAAGGAAAATAACTACTTCACCATAACAAGAACAGACAAGAAAATATAAATTAAATCACTTTCAGCTGATATGTTGATACTTAGGTTTCAATCAAGAAAACCTTTGACTGTGAACTGAGAATACCTGTTGAACATCCTTTGTAGAGCAGTATTGATCTCCCTGTTGTGTAGACAGTAGAAGATGGGGTTCATGAATGGGGGCACCATGGTGTAGAACATGGCAGGAAGCAGATTCTTAAGGGATGGTTTCTTTGCAATGGGACCTAAGACAGCTATTACTCCCCAAATGACAAACACCAGGAGAATGGCCAACTGTGGGTAGAGGTGGATATGGCTTTCTTTTGGGCTTCCACAGAATGCATTTTAAGCACATTTAAAAATATATTAATGTACGACATAAACATAAAGGAGAAACATAGTTACTCAAGACAAATGTTTATAGGAATATTTACAAATTCTGAAATCTGCACATCTGATGATGATATCCTCAGGATTTGAGGAATATCACAGAAATATTGCTGGATCACATTGATCTTGATGAAGAGAAGCCTGAACAGAGCAGCTGTGTGGATAGCAGAGTAGATCAGACCAGAGGCCCAAGAGGCAGCTGTGGCCTGGGAGTACAGACTCAAGGAGATGATCAGCCCACAGTGAAGAAGGTAGCAAATTTCCAGGTAGTGGTCACAGGACATGACCACCAGGAAGGCAAGTTCTACCTCTGCAAAAAGAATATAGAAGACAATGTACACAGCACACTCTGTCAGGGATATGGTCTTACTGTATTTCATGCAATTCACTATTATTTTGGGAACAATAACTGAGATGCTTCCAAAGTCTAGGAGGACCACATTGCTTATAAAAAAGTACATGGGAGAGTGCAGACATGTGTCTGTCACAATGACAGTGACAAACACAAGATTCCCTGTTAGTGCACCCAGATAAATTACTAAGAACAGCACACCTTGCAGAACCTGGAGCTTCCAGGAGCTTATGATATCCATGAGGAAGAATTCTGTGAAGATGGTGAGGTTGTCCATGTCTGCTCACCTGCCATGTTCTCTGCAGAGTAAGAGGTTAAATTGAGCTGATAATGCTACAACAAAATTGTGGAGCACCCACTGAAACTAGAGCATGGCTCCTAATCAGGAAATCGAATAAAATACATAGATAAAATAAAGTATCCTGAAAAACAGTGAAAGTGTCTATTTCTCTTTGCTTTGCTAAGCTGCTGAGAGATATCCTGTTAGGTTCTACATGCATAGCCTGAGAATGGCACCAAGCCGGTCTCCCTACACCATTTTCCCCCTTCAGGTGCTTTCAAGGTGTGTGTGTGTGTGTGTGTGTGTGTGTGTGTGTGTGCGCACTTTTTTTGCATCATCATCTATGACATTTGATTCAGGTCATGGAAATTCTCTTTTCCTGTTGGACGTGTCTTGTTCCCATCTTGTGATTTCTTGGCTTTATGTTTTAGCTTGAAACAAACAAGCAAAAAACTTCTTGAATACTCCTCTGAAATGCAACCTTCTGCTATGTATTGATT